AATTTACGTTCAATTAAATCACGTGCAATTTCCTATTAAAGTATTATAGTTAAATAAATATTTCATGAACAAGTAACGTTTGTCTTTGCGATGCTACTATAAACTCCAATCTAAAAAGAGAGTGTGTAAGTGTGGGTGTGAATCTGGATATACACACTGGTATTGATGTCTGTATGGTTCATCTCTTCACCTATTGAATCAATAACACCCACATCGAGATGCACTCAACCCCATCCTGAATTTTCTGCCTGGAAAAACCTGATTAGACGAGAAGCAAACATGAAAAACATAGGATAAGATGATGGCACTGAACCAAGAAGTCATCAGCACTAATAGTTATCCTGAAATTATACGAATACATATGAACACGTAACTATACACGTGCAAGCAAACACAAAATTATTTTAATTCGTATGACCATCCCTTCAGTCGATGGAATAATTGAAAAAGAGAAACTTAGCGAATATCTATCGTAAACATGAGATATTTGATTAGTACAAATAATCGATCGAACATTGATATTAAATAATCTTTGAAATATAACTAAAAACCCTAGAAGTGGATCAAAAATAGCAAGGACAGCATTATTTACTAATAATTTAATTAGAAGACATGGTTTAGTGGCTTCTTTCGTTCCTTTTCAATCACTTAAATCAACACATACTGGACTAATATTGTTATTCTAATTAAAACAAAAAAAAATGACATTAAACAAAAAAACTGAATTAAAATCTAATTTTTATTACTTGTGCAATAAGTTGTTTCAAATTTTCATCAGATTTACTAACAGCAATTACTTTAGCACTAAGTTGAAGCTAGTCGTAAAGCAAATGATTTATCAATACTTTAATAATTATTTTCTTTCAATATATTAAAATAAATTAGTTTATAAATAACAGACCTCGTCCAGCATCTGTTACACATACAGATGTATTTCAAAAATCATTTTCAGGCATGTAGAAAAATTATCAAAAAAAAAATAGCATTGCATTAACTTTAAAAAGCAAAAAAAATGAAATGATTGACACACAAATTTTCATAAAGAAATTTAAGTACGTAAAAAATAAAAGAAACTTGTCATGACATTTATCGACATATGGCATTATGAAGTGGAATTGCTGATAGACCTGCAAATGTAATTCCAAATGAATCACCAATAGATGCGACACCCATTGAAAATTCACGATCAGGTTTAGGAATCTAAAACAAAAACAACTCTACTTAAATTAAATCTTGCTTAGACTTAAATTATACTTCAATTGATATCTTGTAAAATGTATTGACATAAGCTCCACCACCAATTAAACCTTCAAATATGACTAAACCGAAAACTAACCATATACTCGGTATATAAGCCGTGCGATAGACACAAGCAAAAAATATACCCATATTAGTAAGCTAAGTAAATATATATGTATAGAATACAGAAACAAATATATAAATAAACTAACTTGAATAATCGGTAAAATCCAAAGGTGATGAATTCTAAAGAGAGCTACGGATGAACGTGACAAGAAAACACCCAATTGATAGCAAACTGAGTACCTGAAAATAAAGAATTCGTATGATACAAGTACCACATTTATCATTTAGGATGTGGTAATGGGTGAGGGCGAGGGCGAGGGGTCTATCCTACCCACATCCCGCACTCCCGCACATCCTGAAACTATTTATATGGATTTGGTTCAAGAGGGGAATGGGTGTGGGTGTTGGTCTTCACTTAGCTGATACCCACACCTACACCCTCTGTTTCTTGTTATTGAAAACCAAAATTGTTTTCATAAATAATAATGAAATAAATGTAGTCTTCTTATTGAAGAATTATAAGAAAATAAGTTTCCTGTTTGATTCTATTTAATCATTATTCTTAACGAAAAATTTCAAATGATATCTTTCTATGTGCTTACAAGGGAACTACACGAACTGATACTCGCTATTTGAGCTCATACAAGGAAGCCTCGATAAGACTAGAAAAAGACTAAAAGAGTTCATCTCCATCATCCTTTGAAGTTGGATAATGGCTATTGTATTAAATTTTTAACCCAATCTTAGGTACTTACTCGAAAACGGAAATAACGGTATTTCCACCTGAAATTTTGCTCATAAATAGGTCAAATAAGAAGTAGAATGCGCTGAAAGTTTCAGACGAAAAAAATGTTCCATCGTCGAAATATCAAATTTTCAAGTAAACTTAATTTTTATGGCATATCTGTAGCAAACAACCATTTTTTAGAAATTCAATATCTCGACAAAGGAACATTTTTTTGCCTGAAACTTTCAGTAGATTCTATAGGTCATTGAATGTATCTATGGGTAAAAGCTCAGTAAAATGGCAATAACTCAGCTCCAAAGGCCGATGAGCACGAACCCTTTTAGATTTTTACTAGTCTTACCAAGGCATTCTTGTATGAACTCAAACAGCAAGTATCAATTCAGGCAGGTCTCTCATTAGAACAATACATTTTGAATATGTTGTACTTTCATTAGTAAATTGGCCATAAAATTGAGCTAAACTTATATGTCTATTATTGCTTACCAACGATATTGTGTAGGATGTGACATACTCGTATTACGAAAGAAGATGAGTTCATACTACATGAAGAAAAATATAAACATAATACTTAAAAGGTTAATTTATGAATAAATCAAATTGCTAAATTTCAATTCATAATGCATATACAAGAACTTGTCAATCTCAAAAAGATTCATATTTACCAATCCTTGATTGATTAAATATTCAGCAAAATAAACAATTGTCAATGGAATCATATACTTGAGTAATGGCTATAACAAATTTATCAATAATAAAAAGTCAGAAAAAACGTTATTATCAATCATATACTTTAACTAGCTTAATTCGACTTCTAAAATCTTTCAATGTTGCATTTACATGTATTATCTTTTCATCAGCATTACTGTCTATATAGAAAATACATAGACATTTCCTAATAAATCTATTATTGTTTCTACCTGTATCAACATCAGTAGTAGTTTGTTCACTCATTTGTTGATATTGACGATGTCTTGCAACAGCTTGACTAGCTCCGACCATTATGTAACTTTATATATATATATATAAATCAAATAACTTTCATTTAAAGAAATACATATTTTTCTTTATACTCTTTTGTTTACCTGACAACTAGGAGAACAGGTATAAAAAGTAAAATAAGTATAGCAGTTCTGGGACTTAGTTTAAGTAGACTAGTTAGTCCTGTATAGGAAAGAGCACCAAATAAGCCAGCAGCCCCTGTACCACTTGACCATGCACTGACTGTATGTTTTGCATAAAAAGATGTTAATTGTAACATTGTAACTTCACCAACACCTGCACTGATACTTGCACAAACAACACCTTTAATTTAGAATTTTTGTTTATATTTCATGAACTATGTCAATTAACTTACCGAATAAACTTAAAGCAATTACTTTTGAAGTACCAACAATGATCAAAGCACTAGCAGCAAATAATACAATGAAAACAAAACGAATACTTGAATGGAAAAAGAAATCAATTCATTAATGTGAAAAAACAAAATAGCGATTAGCTTTTACTTATATGAAATTTTGTGCATAAAAAATGGTGCTATTAATTTAATAATTAATTCTGGTAAAACATCCGCTAGTAGAATAGCCTAAAAAAATGATTATCATAATCGAAACAAATATATCAATAAAATTCAAAACAATTTTTCTTCAAAATTTATATCAACATCAAATAAGTCCTATGTTGAATTCAGCATTTTAATGTACTATAGGAAAGGAAGAATATTCCTGCCTTTA